GAGGATGAGGTGGAGGACACAAGGGATCCTAACTGGACTCCACCTGCAGGTGAGAGAATCATGGTCACGTTTAAATCCACAGCAAATCACTTAATTTTTACTTCATCGTGTAAAATTCAGTATTTATGATTTTATTTCACACTTTGTATTTGTTGATTTATTATCTGAACAAATTTTCCCCTATTCATTAAATATTTGAACCATTTGGTCTCTCACCTCCCCCTCTGTCTCCCCCCCTCTGTCTCCCCCCTCTGTCTCCCCCCTCTGTTCCCCAGATGGCGATGCTCCTTCTCCGTTGGCTCTCGGGGACGTGGGGCTGGACTCGGAGTCCCAGCATGCCCCTTTCGTGAAGCTGGAGGTGGACAGCATCATGTGTGACGTGTGTGGCAAAGTGATGAAGAACAAGTCGAGTCTGGCACGTCATTCCTTCATCCACACGGGGAAGAAGCCGTTCGCCTGCCACCTCTGCGAGCTGCGCTTCAATCGTCGTGACAATCTGCAGCACCACCTGACCCGGCTGCACCCCAACGGCATCGCCAAGCTGGAGAAGCAGCGCGAGGTGCAGGCGTGGCTGTGCGCGGACTGCGGGAAAACCTTCAACTGCAGGTCCAGGCTGAAGGCGCACGAGGTCGTCCACTCAGGGGTCAAACCTCACCGCTGTGACCTCTGCCCCAAAGCCTACATGAGGACAAACGACCTGGAGCACCACAAGAAGAGCGTCCACGTGCAGGGCTCCCAGGAGCCTCAGCGGCCGAGCTCGCTGCTCTGCGACTTGTGTGGTAAAGAGTTCAAATGCAGGTCGCAGCTCATCATCCACTTTCAGACACACACGGGAGAGCGACCGCATCTCTGTGACATCTGCGGACGCAAGTTTGCCCGACACCATCAGCTCAAACGTCACAAGATTCTGATCCACGCCAACCACCTGAAAGGAGAGGGGAACCCCCCGTACGACTTGCCGTTCTCCTGCACCGTCTGCGGGAAGCGGTTAAAGTCTAAAGCACTTCTTGCTGCTCACACCCACATCCACACCAACGAGAAGCCACACCGCTGCGGCGTCTGTCTGCGCAGCTTCCAGCGCGCCACCTGCCTGAAACAGCATCATCTGCGCGTCCACCTGAGGGTCAGAGTGAACGATGCGCCGCACGCTGCCAGGAACAGGAAGTGCACAGCACAGGCGAAGATGTTCCCGTGTCCCATCTGCAGCAAAGTTTTCAAATTTAAGTCTCTGCTGGCGAGTCACTCGTTGATTCACAGCGAGATCCGACCGTACGCCTGCGACTTCTGCAGCCGCAGCTTTAGACGCCTCAGCCACTTGAAGAGACACCGAGAGGTCGTCCATGCCAACGGAGCGCGCCCGCCACAGAGCTTCATCTGCCACATCTGCGGCAAAGACAAGAAGTGTCGCTCACAGCTTGACAGACACGTCATCATCCACACCGGGGAGCGGCCGTTCGCCTGCGACCTCTGCACCGCCCGCTTCAACCGTAGCGGGAACCTGCAGCAGCACAGGAAGCGCATGCACGGTGTGGGGAAGCCACCACCGCCTGAGGAAGCCCCGCCCATCCTGTTTGATGATGACATGACATGCAAACAGGAGGAGACGGTCGTGGCCGTCGACCCTCCAGCTGAGCGGTCTGAGGTGGCAACGATTGACGAGATGGAGACGGAGGTCGTTCAGGACCTCGTTGCTTCCTGACGTCCGAACTGAAAACGTGCGAGCCGATGCACATTTAGAGGAAGTGAGTTTGTCTTGATAATAAATTCTGTGGTGACTCTCTGATGAACCTGTGAATGATCTGAGGATCACTGATCCGTTCTGCATTGATTCCAAATTAAACGTGATTCAGAAAACGTCCTCCTTCAGTTCCTTTAAATCTTTGATAGATCAAAGGTTTTGCAGTTTTCAGCTTCATGACTCATCAAATTTTAAATAACATGTTAAAAACAAACTGAGTCGAAGAAACGCTTTTATTGATGATATGACAAACTGACGAGCTGAAGACTTACAACACACACACACACACTTACATACATAGTACAGAGTGGGGGGGGTCATTTCCATGGCAACAGGAAAAAGAATGGGCTTTAAAATCTCGTAAATTTTCTCATTACAATTGATTGATTTCATTTCTGGTTTAACTCAACTGAGATTCTAAATGAAAAGGTTTGAAGTGAAACGAGTTTGTGTGTCAGTCGTGAGGTTGTTCCCTCTTGGTGATTACGAGCTCTACGTTAACGAGAGGGCGAACGCTAACAACGAAACCAGAATAATGGAAAAACTCAAATCAAAGTCTGAATAGATTTGTTTTTGTTCGTCAGAGTGACGTCAGCGAAGATGTTTACGGTGCGTTCAGGTCACGTGTGAACAGACGCTTCTCTACAGGTCAGAGGGCAGACGAGGAGAGGATGATGATGTCATCACAGGTCAGACATGTAATCACTGGTTTATAAATAATGAATCAACAGCTGCATCATCAGTTAGTTACAGAAAACCGTCCATGTTTCATTAAATGTAACATGACACAACCACTGGAAACGAGCATGATGATTGGCTAAGCTGTTAGGTGATGTCATCCCTTTGCCAGCGAAATGCTGTGATGTCACTGTGATGTCAGGGGGCGGAGCTTTCAGACCTCCATGCTGTCGGCCTTGGGCGCTCTGGAGATCCACAGGTTTGATCGGTCCGTGGTGGTCTTTGTGCGGGGATCACTGCGGGAAAGAGATGACATCATCATCATCCAGCCCAAATGATTTTCATGAATACTTTATTTAATTTGAACAAAGTCAAGTAGTTTGTCCCCACGGAGAACATGATACGAAATGTCAACATGTCAAGAAAACATGTTAGAACGTGTCGAGGAACATGTCCTAACATGTTGACGGGCCTCATATCTTCTAGTTTCTCTGAACAGCTGATTTTCAGATGTGAATTCCTGGAAACAGTTTGTTCTTTGCTGTTCTGAAGAACCTGCTCGTCACTTCTGAGTTTCAGGATAAAAAGAAACAGACGTCGGTTAATCAATGTCGTTCTCTCCCGGAAACATCCTGGTTCTTTACTGTCAAAAAAGGAAGTGACCTCACGCAAACCTGGAGAACAGAAGAGCTGATTCAGGAGAACGTGTGGAAACCCCTGAACTGATGCCAGGTAACGACACACTCACACACTGAGCCAACTGTAAATCATCTTTGTTAACGAGACGTCTCGTTAGAAACTTTCAACTATAATCACTGATGAAGCTAAACACACACAAACACTCACACACACTGCTTCCTCAGCAGGAGCAAAAGAGGCTGCTGGGAAATGTAGTCTTACCTTCTGCTCAACATCTGAAAACAACATGTCCCAGAAGCCACCAGGATGAGCAGCAGCAAGGGGATTGTGGGAATGATCACGTAGACCAGTAACATTCCTGAAGAGATGGAGAGAGAACATATGACTGTTTCCTGTTTATAAACAAGCCACGTGACATCACTGATCATCAACGATGACATCACAGTCAGCTGTCAAATCAGAGCTCTGAACTACGAAGCAGGATCTGTGGTCATCAGTTCATCAGTTCACTTCAGGTCATCAGGTCATCAGGTCATCAGTTCATCAGTTCATCAG